TGATTTTTTGTTATTTAAGTTATTTAATTAGGATTAAATATGTTGTTATATGGGTATTTTGGGTGCCAAGCTAACTCAATAACTTAAAGTTCAGGTACTATATATTTGTTTTTTTTTTTTGAAAAGCAACTTTATATTTGGTTACGAGGTGGATTAGGATAAAGCTTTTAAAAGTTAAAATGAACTCGAATAGGTTTTGGGTATTACCTTTAGAATGCCCTAATTGATTCAGGTACTCTATATTTGGTTATGAAATGGATTAGGGTAAGGCTTTTAAAAGTCAACACTGATTATGAGACGAATTAAGATAAGGCTTTTAAAAGTCAACACTGATTATGAGACGAATTAAGATAAGGTTTTTAAAAGCCAAGACGAACTGGAGTAAGGTTTAGGTTTCCCCTTTACATTACATATAATCTTACAAAATTTTTAGATTTAGTGTAATTTGAAACTTTGTTGTTTTTACTAATCCCTACCATCTTAATCAACATATTTTTTTGTAAATTAATAAATGTAAAATTAATTTATATTAGTTGAACTATGGTACAAACTTTAAATAGGTAAAATTTGTCTCAAGTATTTAATGAATTCCGATAATTTACAAATAGTGTTTTATTATTAAGACTCAGTTTTGGATAATGTTTTGTAATTTTAAATGGGTTTTAATAAGGTTTGAATATCTTCATGGTTAAATTATTTTGGGTCTGAGTAACTCAAAAATAACGGTATTCTACCCGTTTACATATATATTTTGAATAGTAATTTATGATTTTGTTCAAGTTTTAATAGGATTAGGATACCTTATTAATTAAATGAATTTGGGATTGTGTAGCTCAAAAAAGCGGGTACCTTACCCATTTATATCCCTAGTTTTAAATGCCATTAACGTTACGTGTTTACATAGTGCCATACTTAAAGTCTAAATTCCTCTTGTTTGACAGATTTTGGCTCAAATTAGTTCTAGGTTTTATATATTAATGAATAATGACACAATTACTTACCTAGAAGGATTCAATTGTCTTTTTGGAATAGGTATATTTAATTAAATATCGGAATGCATGAATATATAGAGTTTTTTTATGTCGTCCCACCTCTGAAGGTTTTTGACATTGTGAACCTGAGTTGGAGAGCAGAAAACTGTTTGTTTGTAAAGATTTACGTTGATTTCGTCCAGAAGCTGGAACATATGGTTCTTTCATTCGAATTTTCGCCTAGCAGAACAGATTGCCATAAGGTCCTGTGCCCGAGAGGGCATTCAGATATAATCAGTAACTTGCCTGACAATGTAATTGAAAGCATCCTTGGTAGATTGCCGATTCGAGATGCAGTGAGAACAAGTATCCTATCAAGAAGTTGGAGGTACAAGTGGACCGCGCTTCCTAATCTTGTATTCGATGTTATAGATGCTGATCGTTCTATTTTTCACTTGAACAACAATGCCTCTCAGTTCGAGGATGACGATGAACTTGTTAAGGTTATTTACAGGATTCTTTGTCAGCACAAAAGCCCCATACTCACGTTTCGCCTCCTAATCCAAAGCATGAGAAGCTATCCCGATGTTGATCAATGGATTAATTTCTTATCGAGGAACGGTATTAGGGAAATCAACCTCGAGTGTCTCAAGGGAGACCGGTATAAAATCCATTCTAGCTTGTTTTCGTGTGCAAACCTGAGGCAGCTGAGGCTTCAGCACTGTGTAATCCCATCACCTCCTCTGACATTCAATGGATTCAACCACCTTACTCGCCTTATGGTTTTCAGTGTTACAGTCAACAATGAAGGGTTTGAGAATCTCGTTGCTAGGTGCCCCCAACTTAACCAGTTGTACGTTATTTATGTGGATGGTCTCGATAGACTGAACATTGATCATGCTCCCAAGCTGCAATCTTTGTTATTTGTTGGCAGTCTCAAATACATCTGCTTGAAGAATACCCCAAGTTTATCGCATGTGACAATTTCTTTGTCTCAACTGCCTGATATGAAAGAGAATCTTTCCAATAATGGGGGATCAATCTCTTTGATCAACAATCTAGATTGCTTATCCAATCTTAAGAGTATTGTAGCGGGACTCTACTCTTTGAAGGTAAATTTTCCATTTTGTTATATTAATATAAACATCTATCTTTTTTGCTTATAACATCTTAATGCATAGTTTTTATTTCCATATTTTTTGGGGTGAAGTTCCTTGCTGAATGCAGGGCTAGAAAGAGGCTTCCATCAACATTTAACCATTTACGGTCCATTTACATCTCCATGCTAATGTTTGAAGACATTGATTCACTGTCTTTCGTTGTTGGCTTGATTACAAGTTCACCAAATCTGCATAAACTTGTTGTCACGGTGAGTTTCTATAATATTATTCTCTTCAATCATGTCACCATAACTATTTTGAGCTATATAATGAGATCAGTTTTCTGATCATCCACAGACGTGTACTAATTCAGCAGCAGAGATGGAAACAGCGACACAGTTCTTGGAAGGACAAAGCCGCTCCATTGGTGGTTTGATGAAATTGAGATATGTTGTAATGAAGCAGATATCCGGTTTAGGGCCTGAGATGGAGTTGATGAAGTTGATATTGGGCAAGTCACCATCGCTTAAGCAAATGAAAATTGAACCTGACAAAACAGTTGATATCTCCAGTGAATCAAGGATATTGAAGGCCTTGGTACGATTTCCTAGAGCGTCAAGACTTGCAGAAATCATATATCAGAACCAAGATCATAGCGCAGCTGACTGATCTAACTCCTTGTTTTCCACTGCCTTGTCATCTCTCTCTCTCTATAAATATATATATAGAGAGAGAGAGACACACACACACACACTTGACATTTTGTAAATAATAACTTGATTAAAAAGAATACTCAAAATAGTCCGAAACAATCTAACAATATCACTTCCATCTTTCTGTATTTTTCAATATTTGCTATACTATTTTGTTGTTGAAAAATTTTATAGAAGTTTGATAATTTTATCACATATTGATTGATATTCAATGAAGTAACTTTGTTAATATAAAAACACAATCAGTATCGTTGTAGTCTGTAACTCTACATATTCGTAGGATTTGATAAGCTCGCTTGTGTTGACTTTCGAGAATTAAATTTCACAGCAAATCATCTTGGCTGACTTTGGAAACTGCAGCTATGCTCAGCAGCGTGAGATTGATGCTCCTAATCTCAAGTTCCTCAAATTTTCCGGAAAAGTTGTTTCTATCTGTTTCAAAAATTCCCCGCTTCTTGCAATCGTGAGTGTTCATGACCGTGATGAAAGTGTTTTGAATAAGAAACATAGTGACCGGCTTGGAAAATGTCGCAATCGTTTTTCTGTCAAATCTTTTTAGTTGTCTTTTGTCATTTTGTGATAGTTATCTGGTTCATTAAACCTCTCAGTTTATGTGTATGGTAAACTTGTAATTTAATTAAAGTTAACTAAAATTCCACTACAGTAATATATATATATATATATCTTCAATGACAACTATGTTGTTTAGGTAAAATGAAAGCTTTTCTTAGAACTCCTTCTTAACGGAAAGTTAATCCAACCATAACACAAATAAAGGCTTTCTTAATAGCGACTCTTGAGCGGAGCGCCAATCCAACCATAACACAAATAAAGGCACATTGTTGTAATTGTAAGGATACACAAATAAAAGCACATTGTTGTAATTGTAACGATTCAAGTTACTGATAGTGATAAACTTAAATTGTTATATAAGTTTTAACAATTATATTCACATTAGATAGTAGTGATAGACTTGAATTGTTATGTAAGTCTTAACAATTACATTCACATATATAAGTCTTAACAATTATATTCATATTATATAGTAATGATAGACTTGGATTGCTATATAAGTCTTAACAATCACATTTACATCAAATGTAAATGTAAGGTATCTCAAAACCTTGATGTGAAAGCCTATAGCCCACATCGGATTAGTGCAGGTTCTTATATCTTTAATAACAACTCAAATCCAAGGACCGGTCTAGCAACTTTTCAAACTTAAACCACGTGGTTCTAAAAAGCTTAAACTCAAGTTGTTAGTAGCAATGGACTTGAATTGTTATATAAGTCTTAACAATCATAATCATATTAAATAACTACATGGTCTTAAAAAGCTCAAACTCAAGTTATTCGTACTAATGGACTTGAATTGTTATATAAATATTAACAATCATAATCATATTAAATGTGGAATGTGGGGTATTGACTTGAAAATACTTTTGGTGTTGTCCTATAAACATAGTGACCAGCCTTGACAAATATCACAGCTATTTTTTTGTCAAATCTTATCAACTGTCTTTTATGGTTTTGTAATAGTTATCTAGTCCACCAATCCTCTTAGTTTATGTGTGTATAATTAACTTGTAACTAAACTAAATCTAACTAAAACTATATATGTGTACTAGTTGTAGATGAAGTTTATGTGTATTTCTCTTTCAAAACACTTTTACAGCATTATGTGTTCGCTGGAACTTCTTGTTGGTAAGCTTATCACCTTCACAACCTTTCAACCTGTGAAATTGATTTTAAGAATATATATATATATATTTTTTGATATTTGGTTGTAGTACATGTGTGATAACTCATGTTATATGGGATATGAACTTGATTGTTAAAATTTATATAAAAATTTAAGTTAATCACTACTAGTAATTTGAATTTAAATTTTTTAAAATCTGATTTAAAAATTATTAAACCAGTAATATTTGTACCTGGATTGTTACGACTTGTCTAAAGTCTATACTGCCTTTTGCTTGATTAGAAGCTCTCCAAACTTGAGAAAGCTCAAAGTCGAGGTTAGCTCGTTGTTATAGTATTATTAATGTCGATGTTGGTCCCTTGTTAATCTTCTTATTAGTAGTTTTTCTTGGGGGAGGAATCGTTCAATTATGAAGAACCATCACATGATTCTTTGCATCAGCTTCGAGAAGTAGAGCAAACTAACTTCAATGGTAAAATTTATGAATTAGATATGATTAGGTTTCTATTGATCAGATCATTGACAGTGAAGAAAATTGTTATTCAGCCCCGAAGCTGAAATCACATAACTGGATCCTGATGAGGAGAAACCTCCTTACATTTTCCCTATATAGTACACTGTTTTCCATTCCCAAGTTAGCTTTTTATGGAAGATTTTACTACCAGAGAGTATCCGAAGAGACTATCCCGATGAGGAAAACTCCCCAGCTCAGCAACATTCTTCTTCAACCGTTTGAGAATCTTTTTCTGTATCTGCTAATATGTTTCCTTCAAGAATTTGAAGCACTTCAGACATCTTTGGTCTATGATTTGGATGGTGTTGGGTACAAGAAAGCGACAGCTCAATCATTCTCTCAAGGTCAATCTGATCGTAGTTGTTTTCCAAGCCCTTGTCTATTAGCTCATCAAACCTTTTTTCCTTGTAAATTTTGTTCACCTGCAATAACGATATGAGTAATTGAATCCATGGAGAAAGAAAGGGAGCATTTGAAATTCGGAAGCTATTCAGATTTCAAACCCAAGAATCATTTAAAGTGCAAGAAGATCTCTGCTGCTTACCCAATCAATCATTGCCCTTTCCTCAATATCCATTTCCCCAAACTGTGAAGGTCTTTGGCCTGTCATTAATTCAAGTAAAAGAACTCGGAAAGCGAATACATCAGTTCTATCAGAGGCCTGACCAGTTGACAAATATTCTGGAGCAATGTACCCTATAGTTCCCCTCACAGCCGTTGTCACATGAGAATCCTGGTGTTCCATCAGCTTAACTAGACCAAAATCCCCCACAACAGCCTCGAACTGATCATCAAGCAGCACGTTTGCAGCCTTAACGTCCCTGTGAATGATCTTAGGGTCACACTGCTCGTGAAGGTATAATAGTCCCCTCGCTGTGCCAAGGGCAATTCTTTTTCTTGTCCTCCAATCCAGGGCTGGTTTGCCTGCAAGACATCAAGAGAAGGAACTATGAAGTAAACTATAAATAGCCATTTATTCATTACAAAATGTAGCAAAATCAAAGCAAGTGCTTCAATTGTAGCAGAAAAAAAAAATACTTCTATGTTACCTTTGAGACGGGAAGCAACACTCCCATTAGACATAAAGGGATAAACTAAGAGCCTCTCTGTTGCTGTCATACAAAATCCATAGAGTTGTAGAAGGTTCCTGTGCACTGCTAAACTGATAATCTTTACTTCAGCTTGAAACTGGGTTTCCCATCCAGCAGCATTTCCATCTATGAGCCTTTTAACTGCTACAACTGTCCCATCTTTAAGACGTCCTTTGTAGACATTCCCAAATCCACCCCTGCCCAGTATGTTTTTGCTGCTGAAGTTGTTTGTGGCAATCACAAGATCTTGGAAAGGGAGCCTCTTCAAGTTCCCAATGGATTCTTCTTCCTCGTTTGTGGCTAATAATATTCAAAGAAACAGACAGAGCTTACCTGACATGTCAAGATTTTTAACTTTACTTTCAATAAACAAAAAGGGGAAGAGAGAAAAAATTCACCATTGGCATTGAAGAATATTTGCTGCTTGTGTCTCAGCCGTCTCAGAAAAAGGAAAATAAACACCAAAACTAGTAGGAAGGTGTAGCTTAGGCCGGAGCCAAATGCTAAAGCAATTGCGTGGCTTTTGGGTTTTCCAGAAGGTTGTGAGTCTAACAAGTAAAAAGCACAGAAATATGATGTCAGATTAAAGAATCAGACAATCATACAAATTTGGGAGAAACCATATCAATGTGGAATTAGAATTTCTAAACAGAACCGGAAAGTAACATAATCTTAAGGCAGGTGATAGGATGCATATAAAAATCTTAAATTCTAGATAGGGTGACTTAAATCGTGAATTTTACACTAAAGTCAAAAGGTCGGTGATTATGGTTTGAAAAAGAATTAACACAACCTTTTGAGCAAAACTTCAAGATAAGGACAAACTGAAGAAATAATAAGTGGGAGAACTGTTCCTACTTTGTGAATTATTCAAGGAAAAAGAAATTGGCATCGGTCTTGGTCTTGGTCCGGAACAGTCTTGCTCACTCCCTGTGGCACAGATCAATGGGTTTCCGACAGTGCTGTGTCAACTTAAAAAATATGTAAGCAAATAATAAATAGACAAAATAGTACTAAAAGTTATATAGTTGTATTGCTTGTTATAAACATTGTAAACACAGGACACAAAAGCTAACTCTCGGAGTAACTTACTAGAATGTTTTTGCATAGAACCCCGGCATAGGACCACTCAAATTATTGAAAGACAAGTCCCTGGAAAATTTAACAGATCCCACATATTGGTAACCAAGAAAATCCATTATTAGATTCAAACTGATTCAAGTAAATAACTGTCATTCAGGAAAAAAAAAATGTGCTAAAGGATAGACAATATTTCCATATATATACTTACAGGTATTGGAGGCTTTTTACTTGGGACAGACTGCTGGGAATTTGACCAGAGAAGGAGTTGTTAGAAAGATCAAGTGTGTTAAGCTTGGGAAGCTTCCCTAATTCAGAGGGTATATGTCCTGATATATTGTTATCATGTAGGAGCCTGCAAAACTTTCATTTAAGATACAAGGCACTCTAGCTATAGCTAGCACAATTTGTCTGATGAGAATTTGATACTCACACGTACTGGAGATTTGTCAAGTTTCCAATGGTAGGTGCAAGAGTACCAGACAAATTCTGGCTTGGAGCTCCTCTGAAACAAAATCATTTCAACCACATCACTGTATCTTCCCTAGTCTTTACTAAAGTACTGGAATATAAGTATTTATCTTTTTGTGTATTGTGTTTGTCTTTCCAAGTTTCGGTGAGTGAATATTTTGGCTGCTTTAAGTACTACTTACAGCCCAACGACTAGACCATCAGGACTGCAAGTGATATAACTCCAACCGCATGGATCAAGGGCTTCTTCATCCCAATGGTCAAGAACCCCAAGAGGATCCACCAGGAAATTCTTAATGCCCATTAAAGCTTGCACTAAGAAAATTTCGAAAGAAAAAAAAAAGGTTACTTCACAATTCAAATTTTAAAACTTCTTCGAGTATCATATATATATATATGAGAAGGAACTGCGGTTACCTTCAAAATTGACACCCATTGATGATAACAATGCAGACACAGAGGTGCAGAAGCAGAACAAGATCACACCATATAAAACAGATTTCTCTTTCCAGGATTTCATTGATCAGGTGCATGCAGCTCGGACAACAGGCAAGGGAACTAAAAAAATCTAAGATCAGCTTCTTTATATAGCAGGAAGTAGGTGAGATGCTGATAAGAATTGCGAGGAAGATTCAAGAAAGCCAATCCTTTACTGGGCTTGTTTCGTTATATGTAGTGTTTACATCTCGAGCCAAGCCTCCCATGCAATCTTAGCATGCTTTCATCTTAACCAAATTCCTAACACAACATTATATAAGCCAGGTGAAACCGATGTCACCTCTCTCTCTCTCTTCGGCATTGTTTGGAACCTTGGTGTGTTGGGACAGACAGCACTAGAAGACAGGAATTCTTGGAAGCTTCAACACTATCCTGAATGAATAAAGCTCATCCATGATTCTTCAACGTGAATTGTTAAATATTCTGCTAATTACCTTTCCATTTATGCGGACTTACTGACCACCTTTAGCTGCATCACTAGCAAAAGCAGCCACATTGGCCCACTTCTGACTTAATTGGTCTCAAGAATAAATTCGTGATTTGATTGTTAAACGTATGGAAAAGGAAATGCCATAGGATTGATTAACTCCATACATAAGCGACCACTGCATATATGATAATGAGGGTTTACAAGCTAAAACCTATTCTAAATGAAGGATGAAGAGTGAAAGATGAGGGTAAGCAATGAAAATATCATCATCAATCAACAAGGAAACTAAAGTTGTTTAATTAGTTCATTTTTCATTTTTATCATTCACTCTTATCTTTCAATATAGTAAATGAAATAAGATAAACTAATACACTGCTAATATTAAATACTGTCATTTTATTAGTTTTATGAAATTTTCAATAATAATTTATGAAGTAGTTATCCAATTATTGTTTAGAAAATAAAGCAAATTTCTAAACTTTAATAAAAAAAAATATTTAACAACAAATATGATAAGCATGACCTAATCTATATCTATTTTTTATATAGATAATATAATATTGGATTACACGATGAGAGGTCACCCTCTCACATATTTCCAGCCAAACCCTAAATTAAAAAAAAATTAAGTTAAATACCCAAACTTGAACGTAAGTCTAAATGAGTCGAAGATTTATTTTTTATGTTAATTTAAAAATTATGCTTCGTTTTTATAAATTGAAAACAATTTTCAAGTTTTTAAGTTTATTTTTTGTTAATTATTAGATGATTTTCACTGGACCATCCCATTTTCTATCAATCAAATATAAAAAAAATAAAAAATGAAAACCAATTTTATGTAAGTATGAGAAAAATAAAAGGAAAACAGAAATAAGTATGAGTATTTAAAGAAGGGCCCAAACATTGCCAGAACTCTTTAAGTCTGAATGGACCGCCAACCCAAACATAAAGAAGACTGTTCACTTGGAACGCAGACTCCAGTTAAAGCACAAAACATTACGACACCCCACCCAACAAATTGGTAAAAGCTTCAACCTTGCAAGCATTTTTACATCTCTAACTGGAGAATCTGATGAGAGAGATAAAGAGGAAGAACAAGACAGCTCGTCTATAAGGAAACTTAGTTCTCCTTCTGGGTTTTCGAATTATCACAGGTTAGCTCTTTTTTTCTCACTTTTTTTTTGGTCTCATATATTCACCTTTTTGCCACCCGGTTCTTTCAGTTTTATTTGATCCATCACTTATGATCGGTTTCTTCTTCACTGATGGAAAGAATTAGGAAATCCCAATATATTTTTTTTAATCCTAAATGACCCCCAATGATAGGCATGAAAAGTTAATAAATTTGGTCTTTTTATTGAAGCTAAAATTACCGAGACATAGAATAGGCTATATTTCGATCAATTCATTGATATATACTTAAATTATCCAGATGGATGATGTTTCCTGTCCGGATTTAATAAGTGATTTGCCTCAAAGCATTATAGAGAGTATCCTTACGCGTTTACCAATACGGGATGCTGTCAGGACTAGCATTTTATCAAGTAAATGGAGGTACAAGTGGGCAACGATTACTCAACTTGTGTTTGATGAGAAATGTGTGGATTTATCGAATGATCGACGTGAATTTGAGGATAGTCTTGTAAAATTCATCACTCGAGCTCTTTTTCTTCACCAAGGACCAATTCACAAGTTCCAGCTTACGACTACGTACTTCCAATGCTGCCCGGATATTGATCAATGGTTACTTTTCCTGTCGAGGAATGATATCAAAGAGTTGGTTCTTGAATTGGGAGAAGGAGAGTGGTTTAGAGTTCCTTCTTGTCTTTTTAATTGTAGAAAGCTGACCCGTTTGGAGCTTTTTCGTTGTGAATTGGATCCGCCACCGAGTTTTACAGGATTCTTGTGCTTGAAGAGTCTCAATCTTCACCAGGTTTTGGTTTCACCTGAGGCAATTGAAAGTCTTATATCTAGTTGCCCTCTTCTTGAGAGCTTGGCATTGTCTTACTTTGATAGTTTAGCTCTCACTATCCGTGCTCCAAATCTAAAGTATTTGTGCCTGGAAGGTGAATTTAAAGACATTTGTCTTGAAAATACCCCCCTTTTAGTTGCAATGTCAGTGGCTATGTATATGACTGATGACATAGCTGAACACTTTGAGCAAAGTTCAGGGTGCAACTTTAACAGGTTTCTTGGTGGTGTACCTCGTCTTGAGAGGCTCATTGGGCACATATACTTCACAAAGGTAAACTATCTTGCATTTCTAATTTGGTTTGTAAAGTCGATTTTGTTTGTAGTTGCTCCAAGGTACTGTCAGTTTAATGTTTATCTGTCTTAAGTATTTGAGCGTAGGTGATGACCCTGGAAGACTTCCTATTACGTATAACTATCTAAAAGTAGTAGAATTGTATCAAGTGAGTTTCGAAGATATGAAGGAGATACTCGTGGTTCTTCGCTTGATTACGAACACTCCTAATTTAAAGGAACTTCAAATTTCGGTGAGTGTTGTAGGTAGTTGTTGGCCTTCCCCAGCACCCCCCACCCCCCTTCGTCTTTATATTTTCATTGACGGTTGATATTGTTGTCTTTTTCTACTTCGTACACTACCTTATGGTGAATCATTCAAGATCCAAGGTGATCCTGTTCTCTCTGCATTGTTTTCTTTAGGGTTCCTCAAACACGCTAGCTGCTATTGATGCACCTGATTTGGATTTCTGGGACGAAAAATGCCCTACAGATTGCACATTGAAACAACTCAAAGTTGTGAAGATGACAGATATGTCTGGTGTGCCACATGAGATGGAGTTCATCAAATTTCTTCTTGCAAATTCACCTGCACTTGAGACAATGAGCATTTCACCTTGTGTATATATTATGGATGGAAGAATTAATATGTTAATTGAGCTGTTGAGGTTTCGACGGGCTTCTGCTCAAGCAGAAATTTTGTTCATTCAAGATTAAGCATCGTGGGTCTGTTTATAAAGAACAATTATTTTGCCCCACCATCTGCTAATTCCTTTTCTTTCTTTTGGAATCTCAAAGAACAGCTGGGCTCCAATTGCAATTTTTTGTATCATATTCTTTGGAAATGTGAATAATAACATTACTGAGCAAATTGATATTGTCTATAATGTTCAAGTGAAGTGATTGATCAGGACATGGTGGATGCTTATAGGGGAAAGCTTGGAAATAACCTGGAGAAATTCAAGCAGTAAGTCACTTCCAGATTTGTACTGAGAATATATGATTTTCTAGAGTATCATGATTCATGTGTAGTTCTATTAGTATTTCCTCCTTTAGGCTAAAAACTTGTGTTATGAATATTACGATACCATCACATGTACATGCACACATTGAACACATGCAGGCACTGATACATGCACATAGATACACCCATGGTTTTATGCAGATAAAACCTAATATAAAACTTGGGATTTCTAGTGATAAATGCCACTGATAGCCCTTGAAACTGCCTGACAGTTGTGGCATTAAATTTTAGAGAGCAAATAAAATTCATTTTGGAAGCATATTTATTACAAGTGACTCACAGTAAAACATCTCCAGAAAATTCTTCACTCACCAGTAGCAGGAAATGTAACACTCAACCTAAAAGTCAGTTTTTTTTAAAATCCAAATCTGTACAATCAGAAATGAGACAGATTTAGAGTTTTCAGTATTATAATACTATACAACACGTTCATTTAAACACATTCCTGTCCTAAGATGCATTTGAGGTTTCTTCTTTTAAACAATTTATGATTCTCTCCCCTCTCTCAGAGGTGCATGTCATCTTGGTCCAGAGAGCTCCATTGCTTGAACCAGCAAGGAAGAGTCATCGGTAAGATCAGAGTATCTCTCTGAAGAGGAGAATTCATTGGCTCTGGACCTGGTTGCTTCAGCTCTCTGGGATGCTTCCCACTTCTCGGCAAGGCCATCACCTTCTAGCATGCGAACTACTTCTGACATCTTGGGTCTGTGACTTGGAAGGTATTGAGTGCATAGAAGAGCCACTTGAACCATTTCTTCTAGCTCAATCCTATCATAATTGTTTTTCAGGTCCTTGTCAACTAACATCTCAAGTTTCTTTTCTAGGTGAATTTTTCTTACCTGCATATAATAATAATAACCAGGTACATCAGATTTCTGCAATTTGATTCTTTGTGAGAATAGTCTGACAAGTAAAATTTCTTTAATCAGCTCACCCAGTCAAGCATGGCTCCTTTCTGGTTAGCTGTCTTCCCGAATTCGAGAGCTCTCAGTCCAGAGATCAGCTCAAGTAGAAGGATACCAAACCCAAAAACATCTGTTTTCTCAGAGGACTGGCCAGTTGATAGATATTCCGGGGCTATGTGTCCCACGGTGCCTCTCACAGCTGTTGTCACATGGGAATCCCGGTGATCCAGCAACTTTGCCAATCCAAAATCTCCAACAATGGCCTCACAGTAATCATCAAGAAGTATATTTGCAGCCTTAACATCCCTATGAATTATCTTTGGGTCACACTGCTCGTGCAAGTACAATAATCCCCTAGCTGCTCCTAAAGCAATTCGTTTCCTTGTTCCCCAATCCAAGGCTGGTTTGGCTGCAAGGACAGAACTTACAATATTATTCTCTGGTAAAATTTGCCTTATTTAAGATTGGGGACAAATCAACATGCCATTGCATCTTATACTATTGGAGTATGCATCTGTTATATACTTCAGTGTTATGATTGTTAGTTCTTAAGACTCCATAATTCGGGGGATTAGATCTTATCAGTCGTGCGTTGTAATAGAGTAGCAATGTTTGCTGTTGCATTACCTTTGAGTCGAGAAGCAACACTACCATTGGACATGTAGGGATAAACCAAAAGTCTCTCTGTCGGTGTCATGCAAAATCCATAGAGCCGAAGGAGGTTGCGGTGAACTGCTAGGCTTATCATCTCGACTTCAGTCTGAAATTGGATTTCGCCTCCAATGGCATTTCCATCTTTAAGCCTTTTCACAGCTACTGCGGTTCCATCCTGGAGATACCCTTTATATACGTTTCCAAAACCTCCTTTACCAACCAAGTTCTTGCTGCTGAAGTTGTTAGTTGCTACCTGAAGTTCCTTGAAAGGGAACCTCTTCAAGTTTCCAAGGCAAACTTCTTCCCGATGTTGTTCTGAAATGTTCAAAAGAGTGTTTTTTATGGAGACAAATTACCCCCTTCTTATAAACAACATGCTTTTTTCAATGCAAGTATATTTATTTTTTCAGTTTACACTAACCATTAACATCAAAGAATATTTGCTGCTTGTGTCTTTGCCTGCACCAAAGAAGTAAACCAAATCCAAGAATAAGCAGACAGATGCAGCCTAGGCTTGAGCCAAAGGCTAAAACAATTTGGTGGCTTTTGGGTCTTCCAGAAGGTTGTGAGCCTAACAAGCACCGCAAAATTTTGTCAGCTTAACAGATTTAAACAATTGTACAAATTTTGAGAGAATATCAATATGGAATGTAACATAATCTTAAAGCAGGTGATAGGGTACATGTAGAAATCTTAAATTCTAGATGGGGGACATAAGTCATGAATTTTACACTAAAGTCAAAAGGTAGGTGCTTAATGGTTAGAAAAAGAATTAACACAGCTTTTTGAGCAGAACTTCAAAAGGGAGAACTGTTCTTACTTTGTGAATTATTTAAGGAAAAAGACATTGGCATTGGTCTTGTTCTGGAGCAGTCTTGCTCCTTCCCTGTGGCACAGATCAATGGGTTTCCGACAATGCTGTGTCAACTAAAAAATTGTGTTAGCAAATAATAAGTGGACAAAAATAGTACTAAAAAGTTATATAGTTACATCTTTTGTTTTATACATGGTAAAACACAGGACACCAAAGCTAACTCTAGGAGTAACTTACTTGAATGTTTTTGCATAGAACCACGGCATAGGACCACTCAAATTATTGAAAGACAAGTCCCTGGAAAATTCAGTAGATTCCACTTATTGGTAACCCTTACTGTAACATGCATCATTTTGGAAAGAAAACTAACTGGCATTCATGGGATTACGAGAATTACAGGAAAGTAAGCTGAGTCATGTTTGCCAAGGAGGGAGGTACTGGTCCTGAGAGGCTGTTATTATTCAGCCTCCTGATACAAATTTAAAGAAAACCCATTATTACTTTCAAACTGATTCAAATAAATAACTGTAATTCAGGAAAACAAAAAATGTGCTAAAGCATAGACAATATTTCAATATATATACTTACAGGTATTGGAGGCCTTTTACATGGGACAGACTGCTGGGAATTTGACCTGAGAAGGAGTTGCAAGAAAGATCAAGTGTGTTAAGCTTGGGAAGCTTCCCTAATTCGGAGGGTATATGTCCTGATATATTGTTATCCTGAAGGAGCCTGCAAAACTTTCATTTAAGATACAACGCACTCTAACTATAGTTAGCACAATTTGTCTGATGAAAATTTGATACCCACACATGCTGGAGATTTGTCAAGTTTCCAATGGTCGGTGCAAGAGTACCAGACAAATTCTGGCTTGGAGCTCCTCTGCAACAAAATCATTACAACCACATCACTGTATCGTCCCTAGTCTTTAGTAAAGTACTAGAAGATAACTACTTATCTTTTTGTGTGTATTGTGTTTGTGTTTCCAAGTTTGAATGAGTGTATGTTTTGGTTGCTTTCAGTACTACTTACAGGCCAACGACTAGACCATCAGGAGTGCAAGTGACCATACTCCAGCTACATGGATCAACAGCAGCCTCATCCCAATTGTCAAGAACCCCATGAGGATCAACCAGAAAATTTTTTATGCCCATTAAAGCTTGCACTGAAGAAAAGAAGAAAATTCAAAGAAACAAGAAAAAGGTTCATTTCCTGATTAAAATTTCCTTCTATGCATTCAATTTCAAAAGACAACGATGTGTTTTCTTCCAATTATAAGCAAAGGTCAGTTACCTTCAAAGTTGACACCTTTTGCTGAAAGCAATCCACATGCAGAAGTCCACAAGCAGAGCAGGGCTACACAACACAAAACAAACTTCTCTTTCCTGAATTCCATTGTCTCAGTTGCAGCTCCAAGAAAGCTAACCAGCTTCTTTTGTATGGAGGGAACCAAGGAAGCAGGTAAGGAGCTGGTAGAAGGTTTGTAAGCAGAGATCCAAAGTGAAGTAATGCTTAAGTAGGATTGTTGTTGTTTTATGCAATGTTTACATCAGTGAAAGTCCCCATGGTTCCTATACAAGAATAGAATTTGCACTCACTCTCAACTTTCTGTGAAACTCAGAACCAACAGCCAAGAAAACCAGAGAGTTTGGATAGTTTTAAAAAAAAAAAAACA